ATCCAGTTTTTCTCAGTCTTGCCCCAACCCTGAAGTCAGTCACTTTCTATAACAGGGGCACCATGCTGTATTTGTCCTTTTGTGACTGAGATTTTTTGTTTGTTTGTTTATAACAAAAGCCAGTATTTACTGCCTTACATAGTGAGAACTCGTTTTCTTTTCTCCATTAATTTTTTCATCTTTTTTAATTTTAAATCTATTTTGGAATTTGACAGTGTACAAATCATTGATTTTCATGCAAACATTTTTATACATTTTGTTTTATAACATTAATTTCAATTGATTAATTACGTATCTCATCAAACTCATATTGTATATTGCCTTACTTTTCACCCAACTTAGCTCCTTTCTTCATCCTTCTCATCCTTTTAATCCTCCAGGTTGTGTAAACCTTTCATTAGCTTTTTTTTAAATTAAATTTTATTAATTTTAATGAACATTTACAGAGATTGTGGGTTTCCATTCATTCATTGTTGCACTATTTTCTCTACCCTCCTCCCCAGTTCATTCCTTTTTTCCCTTGAAAATCTGTTTTAATTGTCCAGTTGCCACAGTGCTTGTCAAAGCCAGTTCTGATTAATCTCCTTTGTCAATGTGTCCCTTGTCATTCCCTATCACTCCTCCCTGAGAGAGACTTCAGACTGAGATATTTTTTAACCACTTTTCTATCACTCGTTTTCAAAATTTCATTGAACATCTGTTCAAACTGACTAACCGTTTCGATGAAGATTATGGCCAAGGAAACATCAATGTTTTAGTTCTCCCCAGTAATACCTGGGGCCACCATAAGCTGGCATGAACTCAGTATCAAATAATCTTTTTACTTGCTGTTGTGTTTGAGTATTCTCTCTGGACCAAATGCTATGTTCCCTGTATTTTCACATCAAAGCTTCATACATTGTAATCATTTATAAATGAGGAAGATAAGACTTAAACTGTGCAGGGCTAACTGGGGAGACCATTGGGCATGCTGTTAGGAGGGGCTTCTCCTTGGAAAAAAGACATCATGCTGGAAGGGTAGAGGGTCACTGAAAGAGAAGATCCTCAAGTAGGTGGACAGACACTATCAATTGGCTCAAGTACATCAGAGATCATTAGGATGGCACAGGATAAGGTAAGTTTCTGTCTGTTGTTTATAGGGCCACTCTGAGTCATGGTCAACTTGATGGCACTTAACAACAACTAGTGAATCACTAGCCCTCATTCCATGGAATACAAATATCATCAGAAAAGGGGATAATTAATAGCTACCTTGTCCTCAAAAAATTGATTACCTAGGAAACCAGAGGTGTGTATGCAGCAATATTGTTAGCTTTGACTACTTCAAAGTTGCTGTTGTTGTTATGTGCCACTGAGGTGCTTGCGACTCATAGTGACCTTATGTACAATAGCTCTAAACCCAGCCCTATCCTGTGCCAACATTACTGTATCTTTCACATTTACTCCCATTACCCCAGTCACTGAATCAATTCATCTCATCAAGGGTCTTCTTCTCTTGTGCTGTCCTTCCGCCCTCCCAAGCATGATGTCTTATCCAAGGACTGGTCCCTCCTGGCAACATGTCCAAAGTATGTCAGATGAAGCTTCAGAATATTTGCCTCCAAGGAGCAGCCTAGTTTCACCCTCTCCAGTACAAATCTATTTGTTTTCCTAGCAGGCCATGGTATATTTAATACTATTCTCCAGCACCACAGCTCAAAGGCCATCAATTCTTCTGTCATCCCTAGTCACTGTCCAGCTTTCTGATGCATAGCAAGTAATTGCTAAGACTATAGCCTGGATCAGGCAACCATTACCCTCCAGACTGATATCATTGCTCTTCAGTACTCTGGAGAGGTCCCTGATAGCTGACTTCCCCAATGCAATTCATCTTTTGATTTCCTGGCTGTGGATACCAAAAGTGTTGATTGTGGAGCCAAGTAAACTAAAGATGTTAACAATCTCAGTCTTTTCACCGTCTATCATGATGCTGCCAAATAGACCCAGTGGTGAGAATCTTTGTTTTCTTGACATTGATCTTCAATTGATATTGAAGACTACAGTCCTTGACCTTCTGCAGCAAGTGCTTCATGTCCTCTTCAGTTTCAACAAGCA